TAGATCTCTTCCAGTCAGTTAGCCAAGTGCTTGTTCTCCAGATTTCTTGGCACAACTTGGTGAGCACGTCCAGGTTGAAAAGGTGTGGAGACAGTTTTCTTAGCACTCCATGAGTTAATGTTCTCATATGAGTTAATGTTTTCTTGTTAATGATCTTGCCACAAATGTCTGCCTTGACTTTCCCATCTTCTCTTACTTGGACCATGTACTTCCTGAACATCTAAACTTGGGGGCGGGCAGTTTTTATGAGCCCTTAAGAATTTCTGTGGAAGGGGTTTTGGTGATGTTTACTGTATGTGAAGTCTGCTTCTTGTTGTCAGTTCTGGTGGCCCAGCATGAGAATCATCCCCAAAGTATTTTTTGGTTATTGCTTTTAAAATACTTTGGTTTAGACTGAGTTAAACCAAAAAACCAAATGTAAATGTCTACACACATATTGGACATGGTTACAACTGTGGCCTTCAAAACAGCTTAAATATGCAGACGTAAACTAAAGAAAATAACGATTTCATATTTATAGAAAAGTGGCTGCTTCAGGAAGCACATATAGAACAGGTGAGCCAATTAGAATGATAAACAACACATAGCAAGAAAAAAGGCTAGTAGACAGGGTTGTTGAGAAAAGTGAAAAGGGAAACATTGGAAGTCAGATAAGAAGATCAGAATCTATATCTGCCTTGTACCCAAAGAGCTGCAGTAAGATCTTTACTCGTTAGCTTGTTTTCTATTTTATTCTGTAATAAAAATTTGTGGGGAAACAAATTTTCTCTTTTTCTAAATGGAAAGTCTTAAAATTTGTGCTCTAAAGCCAGCTACTAATTAAAGTGATAACATCTCACAAGAAATAGACTATCAGCAGGAAACAAGTCACCTGTCATGGGTGAAATTATGCCCTGCAAGTTATGTGGTAGCATTTGAACGGTTGTGCTTCTGGAAGTAATCTCATTTGGGAACAAAGTTTTCTTTGTGATGCTAGCATGTGTCATTTACTGCTAAGTTACGATAAAGAACATAAACACAGACAGTTATCACACCATATGAAACTTTACAAGGATTTGAAGATTGCCAGTACAAGTTGAAATGGACAAAACCTAAGAGCCTCTTACACAGTGAGAAAAGAAACTTCTCTCTGGAGCCACCCTCTAGTGGCACTTCCATTGTAGTTGCACCATCCTTACCATGTGGTCAAATCTTCTCAGTCCTGAGCCAGTAATTTGGCCAACTGTCCCAGAGATCATCAACCACTGTGTGCTCACTACCACACTGGAATCCCATCCCCGGTGCTCCCTTCTGATCTGGGAAACCATCTAATATACACATCTCTTCTCCTTGCTCCAATCTGAAAATTGCCTCAGGTTTGGTAATGGAATGCCCTGCTTATGGGAAATAATGAATGACTTCTGCCAAATACCTTAAGTTTTAGGACCTTTAATGAAGGACAAAATCCAAATCAACCTTTTCATTAATGGGACAAGAACACAGATAATCTTTCTGGTTTGGAGTTACTAAACTTAATTAGCACTGAGATTTATAGTTTGTATATTTATCATTGAAGGAAAAACTATTTGCTTTGAGAATATAGGAAAAGTTTGTTAACCTAGTGACACCAAGATACTGTAGTTTTCTAGCATCACATCCTTTTACAGGGTCCTCTGTGCAGTGTCCAGGTATTCCCACTCCACCTAGGTAAAGCATATAGCCACATCTACAAATGATATCATTCCCTGCAATAGAACTCCTAAGTTCATCGGTACTGGTTGATAAGAGCACAATATTTAGGAGCTTATTGTTATCTGTGTGTCTGCCTCTGTGTGTGTGGGTGCATGCATGATTCAGAGCTGCTGTACATAGAGTTGCTATGGGTCACAGGCAACTTGATGGCACATAAAAACAACAGCACTGTTAGGGATAATAAGATGAAACTTAGTTCCAGCAAGGAGCATATGACACATTATGGAGACCTAAAGATGACCTGCAGTAGTATGTTAGATAAGCCAAAGTCAAGCCATGTTTAAGGTCAACTGAGTTGCAAAGACAAATATTGATTATATATTGTAAGGGTGTTTCAATGAAAAAAAAAGGGGCTCCTTAGATATCCATTATGAACTTCATATTTCTTAAGAATGGGAAACGACAGCATAAGTGACAGAAGCAGTGAAAGGATGCACCACATAACTGGTGTTGCTACAGTGCAGTATCTGTGGTGCTGTCAACAACCTGCCATGGAGGTAAAGGGTATGAGGGGTTGGAGGGACTGATCAATGGAGTAATTTTGAATTTATCTATTTTACAATAAATTATCAATAAAGTTTTCATTGCTGATTTTTAATAGTATATGTTTGCTTACAAAGTTCATATATACTATGTTTCACAATTTTCTTCATTCACCCTGTGTTTCATATAGTCACTCCCATGGATTACGTTTCCTTCACTCCCTTCCTTCCACCCACCAAATTTTGCAACCCTGTGGTTTCATCCCTACCCATCCTCACCCCTCTGCTCTCACCCTTTCCACACTTGGGTCCCTAAACATGTCTTACTAGTTATCCTTCTATTTTTACAATAATGAACTTATGCAGTATTTGTCCTTAAGGGACGAGTTTGTTCACTCAGCATAATGCTCTCCAGTCTCTCCTAAGTTATATGGTATTTTTCAAAATTATTCCTCCTAAGTCCTGGTTAGTATTCCGTTGTGTGAATGTACCACAATTCCTCAATTCCATTTTGGTTGGACATTTGGGATGTTTCCATGTTCTTGTGATGGTGAATAGCGCAGCTATGAACATGGGTGTAAAAATCTCCATTTATATCTCAGTTCTCATTTCCTTGGGATATATTCGTAGTAGTGGAATAGCTGGATCATGTAGTTTCTGTGTTCAACATTTTGTTGTTGTTATGTGCTTTCGAGTCACCTGCGACTCATAGCACCCTATGTACAACAGCCCTAAACCCTTTGCTATCCCTTGCCAATCTTACTATCCCCGACACACTTATCCCCATTACCTCAGTGACTGAATCAATCCGTCTCACAGAGGATCTTCCTATCCTATGTTGACCCTCCATCCTCCCAAGCATGACATCCCTCTCCAAGGACTGATTCTGCCTTGCCACATGTCCAAAGTATGTCAGACGAAGCTTCAGAATCCTTGTCTCCAAGGAATAGCCTGGTTCCACCCTCTCCAGGATAAACTTGTTGGTTCTCCTCGCAGTCCATGGTATATTCAATACTCGTCTCCAGCACCACAGCTCAAAGGCATCAACTCTCTATTATCCCTAGTCATTGTCCAGCTCTCTGATTCATAGCGAGTCATTGCAAAGACCACGGCCTGTATCAGGCACACCGTAGTCTCCAGACCGACATCATTGATCGTCAGGACTTTGGAGACATTTCTGACAACAGACTTTCCCAATGCAATTCGTCCTTTAATTTCCTGGCTACTGGTACCAAGAGTGTTGATTATAGAGCCAAGCAAGCCAGTGTCAAATGGATCTTGGCAGAAAGCAAAGAATACCAGAGGAATGTCTGTATGTGTTTCATTGACTATGCAAAGGCATTTGACTGTGTGATCACAACAAATTGTGGCTAACCTTGAGGAGAATGGGAATCCCAGGACACGTAATTGTGCTTATGTTAAACCTATGCTTGGACCAAGAAGCACCATACTAAGACATACCCAGACATAGTCATAAAGAGCACAGCACATACCTGTATATATTGGTTTTATTTTCAAGTTACAGTATTCATGACAAAAGCCCAGATGAAACAGTACTCTTTTTATTAAGGGGTACATTCCAAAGCATAGAAGGTGTCATATAGTATTTTATGCTACGTAACTCACTTAGTTCTCTGCTTCAAGAGGGAGAGCAAAGTGTGGTCACCACCTGTTCATGGAAAATAAGACCTAGGTGCAAAGTTGGGAGTGCTAAGTTGCAAGTGGGACAGAAGAACATGTTCCAGACAGTTCCTCGTCTCAGAGTGTTAGCATACTGTTCACTAAGCAGAACTCATGTTTTTGTCATCTGTCTCATCCCATACTAGGGTTTTCTTATGTTCAAGATTTCTCTTTCCACAGACAAAATCCACATAAGATCACTGTTTTAAAACTAGACGATTACGGGGTAGGAGAGCAAGAAAAGAATGGATATGTGATTAATGATCATTGCACTTGAATAAGTAATGAGAAAGTCGATCTGAAAGGAATTGATAATTAGACATTATTTGTATGGCAATGAATAATCTAGGACCATAAATTGCATTGGGAGAGTAGGGAGGAAAATGTATATGAATGAATGAAAAATCAATTTTATTAATAAACTTTCACTAAAATCACAAAAAGGAAGGAAAAATATTTCTTTTTCCAGGTACAAAGTCATGTTTTCATATTCACTTTCTAACTCATTCATTGCTATTGAATGAGAACCAACTCCTAGATGACCCTCCAGTTTATTTCAGAGGTAAATAGCACAGGAGATTGTCCATATTTCTCCTGACTAACATCTTTATATTTAAAGATGAGAAAACTGGATTGTTTGAGTTCCCATATATGCTGTAATCTAAAATTACAGCCTAGAATAGTGCTTAAAATTAGTCTAGGCAAGCAAATTTAGGTTCTGAGGAAGTTCCATAGGTATTTTTCACAAGGTTAACGTTTTTTACAATAGATACTAGTTTGGTGACTGGAAAGCTTTCCTTTTTTTCAGAAGAGGTTTAAAGTGATAAATTCTTAATTAGAATTGTTTTTAAGTTATCCAATATAGGTCAAACTAACCCAAAGTTTAATCTAAAATAGTCTTTCTTGAACTTTGCTTTCCATTTCAGTCTCAGGCCTGAGAGCAGCATCTATGGCCTTTTTCAGTCCATTGGTGCGATCCCAACTATACTCACTGAAGGCACTGTGGACAAGGATATTGCCTGGGTGACTCTGAGTATGCAGGGAACAGGAAGGTCGAACAATCACCTGGGGTGCCGACCTTGGTTATTCAGTACATGCCTTCTTTAATCATGAGCGAGGGATGACACAGAGTTTGTAATACGGTGGGATTCTACCAAACCCAACTGTAATGGGATTGAGATCAATGTCCTTTGGATCAACAAGAGACTTCAAATTGAAATGCTGTAAAATGGCAGACAAGAAGAGGAACAACTCCATGCGAGCCAGGCCTTCTCCAACACATACCCGTTTTCCTAGAAGTAACAAGAGTGCTAATCAGACACTGAGGGTGTTCCACAGAAAGTCAACTCTACCAAAGTCCCAACAGAGGAGGGAGTAGGATAGAACGAATGGATAGAGAAGCTGTGGTATATTCGCACAATGGAATACTATGCTGCATTGAAAAACAAGGAACTCATGTAATATTATTCAAAATGGGTGAACCTGGAG